AACCCTATCACTACCCCAACCCCTATCACTACCCCAACCCCTATCAGTACCCTAACCCCTATCATTACCCCATACCCTATTTCCAACTCCTATCACTATCCAAACCCCATCACTACCCCAACCCCTATCACTACCCCAACCCCTATCACTACCCCAAACCCTATCACTACCCCAACCTCTATCACTACCCCAACCCCTATCACTACCCCAAACCCTATCACTACCCCAACCCCTATCACTACCCCAAACCCTATCACTACCCCAACCCCTATCACTACCCCAATCCCTATCACTACCCCAACCTCTCCTCAACCACTCCCACGTGTCCTCGAGTCACCATAACTACACCACCACTTTTAATAACAACCCCACTCTTTATTTCAACCACTATCATCTTATGTACAATGCTGTAATTATTGTAAAGTGCTTTGGATTAAGGCGCTGCTGTGTAAATCTAGATGTGATAAGATAAACAAGACCACACGAGATCTCTCGTCGCGGCCAGCAGACCTCGACATCTGAATTTAGCTCCTGAACGTGTCGCCACTGCCATTATACGCGACAGTAGAATTGGCAAACTTTTGTATGATTAGTTACCGTACATGATGAATTAATATATAAAAAAATAAGCCAAACATTACACTGGGATAGATAGATATTTTTTAGAATGTCATTCTCATTTTATGTTTTTTAGTGCCCGTATTATTTTTTCTCTCCCCTGTGCAATCATCCGCACACGAAGTCGCGCGGGGATAAATCATTTTAGTGCCCTGCTAATTCCCATGCAAATGGCGTGCGGCGGCGATGATTTAAATTTGGCGAAGGCTCGCTGCCCACACTCTGGGCGATAAACCTGTTAGCGTGGGACAGACTTATGGAGCGTGGCATACAGGAAAGATTTTCCTAATCAGTAATAAATGGGATTTACGGCGCCGGTGACACCTCGGGAGCTCGGCGAAGGCGGCCGCCCCGCTCGTCCGCCAAAACCTGCTCACAAGCTCCCCCTCCGATCGCGGCGATGTATTTATCGCACGGGCCCCGCGCCGTATTAACCTCCCGCTAAATCTTGTTTGTAAACGAGTGCCCGGGGAAATATCTCGGGAGTAACAAAAAATTTTACTCGGAAATTTACGACGGAATGTTCCTTTAAGGCACACGCTGGCAACCCGCCGCGGAGACTTCAACAAAGCTGCACTGCGAGCGCCGGTCTGCTCCCGCGTGGCCACACGAGGTGGTGGTGGTGGTGTGGCCGGCACCACGCCTTTGCCTCCCCGTGGCGCCGCTGTTTACGCTCGTTCGAGTGCCCGATGTGGTGCATGTAGGGGAAGGGGCGGGGGGGGGGGCGTGAAGAAGAGGAGCTGTGGAATAGGGATGGGGGGAGTGTGGTGATGTGACGAGACGGATGAGGTAAAGTGTTGTAAGGGGACCAGGAGGATGAGGAGGCCTAGGGGAGTCCCAGGACTGGTCCAGGCAGGCTGCTTTGTTGAGGTTCAGCAACACGGACACGACCCGTGCCTCAATCCTTCGCCTCTTGACCCTGCCGTGACCTCCGAACCCTTCCAAAGTGACTGCCCAAGTGATGTAACGGAGCCAATCAATTTCGCTGCTCTGCAAACACAGCGCATCTCTTGAATCTATCTCTTGACCTACCCCTCTCGTCATGGCCAATCATCATCAGCCACGTGGTGCATCCACTGCTGGATGAAGGCCTCCCCAAGCTGTTGTATCTCACTGCCCCGCGACGTAACAATAGATCAGCGCGCGAGCGCGTTTCATCGCTCCATCTCTGCGGCGGACGCTCCCTCCCGCCAGAGTTGTGTTCTGCTGAAGCCAACTGTGAAGAATCGCGATTATTATGCGTCGTTATTCTCGCCGTGCACCGCTGAGAAAGCAATCTACCAGAGTGTACGTGGAGCTTCTTTCGTAATTGCCCTTTGATTTGTTGGCCATTGTCCGCCGGCTTAATTGCATTTGACTCACTTCGTTTTAGTGGCCGCATTTATCAATCGTCCCAAAGCAAGGGCTCTGTCATACGACGACGCGCCCTCCAGCACACGTCCATCAAACACTCCCTGTATGTGTGTGTGTATATAGAGCACGTGCATGCGCGTGTGTGTCTGTCTCTATCGGGAGCGGTAGTGTAGTGGTTAGCGCGCCGCGCTACAAACCCTGAAGACCCGAATTCGATGCCCGCTCACGGCCACTACCACCAGTGATTATTATCTGAACTGGTCCTGGGCCTCCCCTAGGTCGACTCAGCCTCAAATGAATACCTGGCACGATGTGCGAACATCGCCACTGGGGAGACAAAGGCGGCCGGGCGTGGTGCTGGCCACCCACGCCCTCGTGTGCCTTGCCGGCCTTCATAGGTGCTCGCTTACAGCACTTGGCCCAACAGTCTGTTAAGGCTATATGGAGGATCTTTGTCTTTGTTGCATTGGTTAATGTGTGCAGAAACACACTGCACATACACGCCGTACACACGCGTACACACGCGTGCACACACAAAACTAAAACTGTGTGCATCATCAACACCGTTGGGACAGGCCGTGGGTTTGGTGTCAAGGCGGTTTTTTAAGGCCACCCAGTTTTTGTGCCAAATTTATTCGGAGAGAGCGTGTGAGAGAGTGAGTGGATGAGTGAGTGCGTGAGCGCGCGTGTGGGCGTGCGTGCGAGTGAGCGAGTGCATGTGTGAGCACATGTGTACGAGTGATCGAGTGCACACATGAGCGAGCGGGTCAGAGAGCGTGCGGGTGAGCGAGTTCGTGGGTGTGTGGGTGCATAGGTGTGTGGGTGTGTGGCTACGTGGGTGTGTCGATGCGTGGGTGTGTGGGTACGTCAGTGCGTGGGTACATGAGTACATGGGTTTGCCGGTGCGTGGATAAGTAGGGTGTGTGGGTACATGGGTGTGTTGGTGTGTCAACACGTGGGTCCGTGGGTGCTCAGGTGCGCGGGTGCGTACGTGGTGCGTGGGGTGCGCGGGTGTGTCGGTACGTGGGTGTGTGTATGGATGGGCGCGTTGGTGGTCATGTGGGTGCTTGGGCACCAGTGAGAGCGTTTGGTCGAGAACGTCTCAAACACCTGAGCCCGAGTGGCAGTGGCTATTATTAGGCAGAGGCTGCCTGGGTCACCTAACGTCAGCGTGGGCAGTCGGGCGGAAGGAGCCGATCCGCGTGGCTGTGCGCAAAGGGGGGAGGAGGAGGAGCGATTGGTGGGGGCAGATTGCGGGTGGAGAGAGCCAGTGGCGGTGGTGGCTGCTGGCTGGTGCAGCAAGACATAACCACGAGGCCCAGTTCGGGACCAATCACGAGTCGTGGACTCGGGAGGCCTCGCATTTTGGGTGCTGCGACCTGGAAAATATTTCCTCACTTCGGCACACCACATCCAGTATACCTCCAGATATGGCTGTGGCTACTGGTCACGCGCCACCTATTTTAGGCCTACCGGGCAAAAGCCACATGCAACATTTTTTTCGGGTGAGAAATATAAGCCCCCGCGTTGAGTCATCGTTGCCGTACGAATCTGAACGCCATTTCCCAGTGCCGCACAATAACGCGCGTAATTACCCGGTTGCTGCCGTGTTAAAATATAACGGAGTCCCATCACAGCCGAGCGTGGTCGTACTCGGAATAATAATAATAATACGAGTACTCTGTGTTAATGCGTAGACAGCCTTAGATTAATGTGGCAGCATTGGGTTCCTGTGATAGCAAGCAATTAGTGTTAATCTACAGACAACCACAAGCTGAACATGACAGTGCTCAGCAATTGCCGCCAAGCATCTCATGTTTGACTTAGTGGAAAATTCTTCGTCTTTTTTTTCCCCCTCATATGCTTCTGCCGCTTGTTTTTTCTTTTCTTAAAAACCCGAATGAGGCCAGAGAGAACGGATTTCCTTCTATCCCCACCTCCCGTATCTTCTTTTGTTTGACCATACTTCACCATCTTGGTCAGTGTGGCTCGGTGAACAGTGAGGCCCCGTGACGCGTTCAGATATCGCTCGCCACTGACGTCAGACGTGGCCGAGATTCACTGCAGGCGCTGTTCCACCCAGTCCTTTCTAATTGCTCTTTTTAAAAAAATACGACTGTATACATCATTATATCAACCCACTGTTAGATTAAGCCTTCACCCAACTCTGGAGTTCATGACCATACTTCACCACAATGGTCAATGTCGGTTGGTAAAAGGGTTAACTGTTGTCTTGCTCGGATATCCTCCGTACATAATTTGACCCCCTCCCCCCCCAGATTCACTGTATCAAAGGAGAGGTGAGTATCATAATGCATAATACAGTAGTAACGCATCCTTTCTATCCGACAAAATGTCAGCACTGTCAAAAGCCCCCCCCAACAAAATCTATCACAAGAATCAGGCCTCAAGGCCTGAATCAAGCCTGTTGACCAGAATAACACATGAGGGCCAGCTACTTACACTTTATTGTGTCTGAGGCCATAACCATATTTATTCCCATATATATCTCATCCCGTCTGTCCCCCACCAATAAAGCTGCAACATTTTCCGGGAGGCTCAACCGGCACGTGGTGAGCTGGCAGCCCTCTCCTCCCTCTCCTCCCTCCCGCCTCCAATATCACACACACACACAGCTCTGCCCACTCAACAACTATCCCCACTCACACAGCAAGTGTTTTACACAAGTCCGCCGTGAACACTCCTGGCACGCGAGTTTGCACAGCCAGTTGCGATCGACCTAAAGTGCGCTAATTCCAGGGGTTGTCATCGCGTGTTCAGCGCTTCCTCGCCGCTAGTAGGGGGGAGGGATCCTCCCCGCTAAGGGAGGCCCCCCGTGAGGGCTAATCCCCAACGGACGTCTCCACCCCGCCGTCGCTGCGAACTCTGGACGGCGACATCTTCCCGAGGAGAGAAACGCTCGGCGGTTGGCCCGACCCCCGGGAGAAGCGTGCCCTTGGGATTGTCCTCAACCCCCGCGATGGCGCAGGCCATCGAGTCCGACGCGGCCCAGCGTCCAGGAAGCTCACCTGAACCTCTGCGCCTGGTGGTGCAGGGGCCCCTGGGTAGCGGCGGATTGGCGACTGGTAGAGCTGGGCCAGCAGGGCCTGGCTGGTCTTCTGGCTCGGGTTGTTGGCGAACTTGACGGTGACGGGCTCGGCGGCCCCCGGCGGCTTCTGCCCGTTGAGGCCCTTGATGGCCTCTTCGGCCTCGACGCGCTTGTCGAAGCGGATGAAGCCCACGCCGCGCGACATGCCTGCTGGGGCCACAATGAAGACGGGGCGGCGAAGGCGACGGTGGCGGCGATGGCGACGTGGAGCGCCGGGGGGTGAGGGAGGAGGTGGGGGGTTGGGGGGGGATTGGAAGGTGGATGTAGCGCGTGGTGACCGGAGGAAGATCAGGAGGGATGTGGTAGGATGAGGGGAAGAAAGAACTGGAAGAGAAGCACAGGAGGGGAAGGGGAGGGAGGGGGAGAGAGAGAAACAAGACGCAGCTAAAAACCTCGCTCGCGCAGGAAGAGCCGATTTGTGTCTTGAGAATACGTGAGGCTTCTCTGGGTAAGCAGGTGTAACGAGGATATCACTCGCCACTGATGTTAGCCGTGCCGGGAACTGAACCAAGGACACTGCGTGAACCACTGCGTCACTGTTTCCCATCACGTATAAATGAGCATACCTTAGGTTGTTTTAACTTCAAATATAACACTGCGCTATTGATCGCAAGCTTTGTAGCGTCATCTGTATGCATCGGCTGCTGCGTCAATAGATTTTGAAATCATAATAGATATACACACGTAAGCAATCGTGCGACTGGCGCATGCTGGAGAGTGACTGTAATCTGCCTAAAGTAAAACAATAACTCTCCCAACGAGACACGTTTGGCTGAGCAGATGTGCGCGGTTCATGTGGTGGCAGAGTGGCGGCGCAGAGGTTAGCGCACCATGCCCAGAGCTACATGAGCAGTGGGTGGAGCTACCTGAGTAGTGGGTGGAGCTACCTGAGTAGTGGGTGGAGCTACATGAACAGTGGGTGGAGCTACATGAACAGTGGGTGGAGCTACCTGAGTAGTGGGTGGAGCTACATGAACAGTGGGTGGAGCTACATGAGCAGTGGGTGGAGCTACCTGAGTAGTGGGTGGAGCTACCTGAGTAGTGGGTGGAGCTACATGAACAGTGGGTGGAGCTACATGAGCAGTGGGTGGAGCTACCTGAGTAGTGGGTGGAGCTACATGAACAGTGGGTGGAGCTACATGAGTAGTGGGTGGAGCTACATGAACAGTGGGTGGAGCTACATGAGCAGTGGGTGGAGCTACATGAGCAGTGGGTGGAGCTACATGAGTAGTGGGTGGAGCTACATGAGCAGTGGGTGGAGCTACATGAGCAGTGGGTGGAGCTACATGAGCAGTGGGTGGAGCTACATGAACAGTGGGTGGAGCTACATGAACAGTGGGTGGAGCTACATGAACAGTGGGTGGAGCTACATGAGCAGTGGGTGGAGCTACATGAGTAGTGGGTGGAGCTACATGAGCAGTGGGTGGAGCTACATGAGCAGTGGGTGGAGCTACATGAGCAGTGGGTGGAGCTACATGAGCAGTGGGTGGAGCTACATGAGTAGTGGGTGGAGCTACATGAGCAGTGGGTGGAGCTACACGAGCAGTGGGTGGAGCTACATGAGCAGTGGGTGGAGCTACATGAGTAGTGGGTGGAGCTACATGAGCAGTGGGTGGAGCTACATGAGCAGTGGGTGGAGCTACATGAGCAGTGGGTGGAGCTACATGAGCAGTGGGTGGAGCTACATGAGCAGTGGGTGGAGCTACATGAGCAGTGGGTGGAGCTACATGAGTAGTGGGTGGAGCTACATGAACAGTGGGTGGAGCTACACGAGCAGTGGGTGGAGCTACATGAGCAGTGGGTGGAGCTACATGAGCAGTGGGTGGAGCTACATGAGCAGTGGGTGGAGCTACACGAGCAGTGGGTGGAGCTACATGAGCAGTGGGTGGAGCTACATGAGCATGTGTGGAGCTACATGAGCAGTGGGTGGAGCTACATGAGCAGTGGGTGGAGCTACACTGAGCAGTGGGTGGAGCTACATGAGCAGTGGGTGGAGCTACATGAGGTGGTGGAGCTACATGAGCAGTGGGTGGAGCTACATGAGCAGTGGGTGGAGCTACATGAGCAGTGGGTGGAGCTACATGAGCAGTGGGTGGAGCTACATGAGCAGTGGGGAGCTACATGATAGTGGTGGAGCTACATGAGCAGTGGGTGGAGCTACATGAGCAGTGGGTGGAGCTACATGAGCAGTGGGTGGAGCTACATGAGCAGTGGGTGGAGCTACATGAGCAGTGGGTGGAGCTACACGAGCAGTGGGTGGAGCTACATGAGCAGTGGGTGGAGCTACATGAGTAGTGGGTGGAGCTACATGAGCAGTGGGTGGAGCTACATGAGCAGTGGGTGGAGCTACATGAGCAGTGGGTGGAGCTACATGAGCAGTGGGTGGAGCTACATGAGCAGTGGGTGGAGCTACATGAGCAGTGGGTGGAGCTACATGAGCAGTGGGTGGAGCTACATGAGCAGTGGGTGGAGCTACATGAGCAGTGGGTGGAGCTACATGAGCAGTGGGTGGAGCTACATGAGCAGTGGGTGGAGCTACATGAGCAGTGGGTGGAGCTACATGAGCAGTGGGTGGAGCTACATGAACAGTGGGTGGAGCTACATGAGCAGTGGGTGGAGCTACATGAGCAGTGGGTGGAGCTACATGAGCAGTGGGTGGAGCTACATGAAGCAGTGGGTGGAGCTACATGAGCAGTGGGTGGAGCTACATGAGCAGTGGGTGGAGCTACATGAGCAGTGGGTGGAGCTACATGAGCAGTGGGTGGAGCTACATGAGCAGTGGGTGGAGCTACATGAGCAGTGGGTGGAGCTACATGAGCAGTGGGTGGAGCTACATGAGCAGTGGGTGGAGCTACATGAGCAGTGGTGGAGCTACATGAGCAGTGGGTGGAGCTACATGAGCAGTGGGTGGAGCTACATGAGCAGTGGGTGGAGCTACATGAGCAGTGGGTGGAGCTACATGAGCAGTGGGTGGAGCTACATGAGCAGTGGGTGGAGCTACATGAGTAGTGGGTGGAGCTACATGAGCAGTGGGTGGAGCTACATGAGCAGTGGGTGGAGCTACATGAGCAGTGGGTGGAGCTACATGAGCAGTGGGTGGAGCTACAGGAGCTAGTGGGTGGAGCTACATGAGCAGTGGGTGGAGCTACATGAGAGTGGTGGAGCTACATGAGTAGTGGGTGGAGCTACATGAGCAGTGGGTGGAGCTACATGAGCAGTGGGTGGAGCTAAATGAGCAGTGGGTGGAACTACATGAGCTTGTGGGTGGAGCTACATGAGCAGTGGGTGGAGCTACATGAGCAGTGGGTGGAGCTACATGAGCAGTGGGTGGAGCTACATGAGCAGTGGGTGGAGCTACATGAGCAGTGGGTGGAGCTACATGAGCAGTGGGTGGAGCTACATGAGCAGTGGGTGGAGCTACATGAACAGTGGGTGGAGCTACATGAACAGTGGGTGGAGCTACATGAGCAGTGGGTGGAGCTACATGAGCAGTGGGTGGAGCTACATGAGCAGTGGGTGGAGCTACATGAACAGTGGGTGGAGCTACATGAGCAGTGGGTGGAGCTACACGAGCAGTGGGTGGAGCTACATGAGTAGTGGGTGGAGCTACATGAACAGTGGGTGGAGCTACATGAACAGTGGGTGGAGCTACATGAGCAGTGGGTAGAGCTACATGAGCAGTGGGTGGAGCTACACGAGCAGTGGGTGGAGCTACATGAGCAGTGGGTGGAGCTACATGAGCAGTGGGTGGAGCTACATGAGCTAGTGGGTGGAGCTACATGAATAGTGGGTGGAGCTACATGAGCAGTGGGTGGAGCTACATGAGCAGTGGGTGGAGCTACATGAGCAGTGGGTGGAGCTACATGAGCAGTGGGTGGAGCTACATGAGCAGTGGGTGGAGCTACATGAGTAGTGGGTGGAGCTACATGAGCAGTGGGTGGAGCTACATGAGTAGTGGGTGGAGCTACATGAGTAGTGGGTGGAGCTACATGAGCAGTGGGTGGTGCTACATGAGCAGTGGGTGGAGCTACATGAGCAGTGGGTGGAGCTACATGAGCAGTGGGTGGAGCTACATGAGCAGTGGGTGGTGCTACATGAGCAGTGGGTGGAGCTACATGAGCAGTGGGTGGAGCTACATGAACAGTGGGTGGAGCTACATGAGTAGTGGGTGTAGCTACATGAGCAGTGGGTGGAGCTACATGAGCAGTGGGTGGAGCTACATGAGCAGTGGGTGGAGCTACATGAGCAGTGGGTGGAGCTACATGAGCAGTGGGTGGAGCTACATGAGCAGTGGGTGGAGCTACATGAGCAGTGGGTGGAGCTACATGAGCAGTGGGTGGAGCTACATGAGCAGTGGGCAGAGCTACATGAGTAGTTGGTGGAGCTACATGAGCAGTGGGTGGAGCTACATGAGTAGTGGGTGGAGCTACATGAGTAGTGGGTGGAGCTACATGAGCAGTGGGTGGTGCTACATGAGCAGTGGGTGGAGCTACATGAGTAGTGGGTGGAGCTACATGAGCAGTGGGTGGTGCTACATGAGCAGTGGGTGGTGCTACATGAGCAGTGGGTGGAGCTACATGAGCAGTGGGTGGAGCTACATGAACAGTGGGTGGAGCTACATGAGTAGTGGGTGTAGCTACATGAGCAGTGGGTGGAGCTACATGAGCAGTGGGTGGAGCTACATGAGCAGTGGGTGGAGCTACATGAGCAGTGGGTGGAGCTACATGAACAGTGGGTGGAGCTACATGAACAGTGGGTGGAGCTACATGAGTAGTGGGTGGAGCTACATGAGCAGTGGGTGGAGCTACATGAACAGTGGGTGGAGCTACATGAGCAGTGGGTGGAGCTACATGAGTAGTGGGTGGAGCTGCATGAACAGTGGGTGGAGCTACATGAACAGTGGGTGGAGCTACATGAGTAGTGGGTGGAGCTACATGAGCAGTGGGTGGAGCTACATGAACAGTGGGTGGAGCTACATGAGCAGTGGGTGGAGCTACATGAGCAGTGGGTGGAGCTACATGAGCAGTGGGTGGAGCTACATGAGTAGTGGGTCGAGCTACATGAGCAGTGGGTGGAGCTACATGAGTAGTGGGTGTAGCTACATGAGCAGTGGGTGGAGCTACATGAGCAGTGGGTGGAGCTACATGAGCAGTGGGTGGAGCTACATGAGCAGTGGGTGGAGCTACATGAACAGTGGGTGGAGCTACATGAACAGTGGGTGGAGCTACATGAGTAGTGGGTGGAGCTACATGAGCAGTGGGTGGAGCTACATGAACAGTGGGTGGAGCTACATGAGCAGTGGGTGGAGCTACATGAGTAGTGGGTGGAGCTGCATGAACAGTGGGTGGAGCTACATGAACAGTGGGTGGAGCTACATGAGTAGTGGGTGGAGCTACATGAGCAGTGGGTGGAGCTACATGAACAGTGGGTGGAGCTACATGAGCAGTGGGTGGAGCTACATGAGCAGTGGGTGGAGCTACATGAGCAGTGGGTGGAGCTACATGAGTAGTGGGTCGAGCTACATGAGCAGTGGGTGGAGCTACATGAGTAGTGGGTGGAGCTACATGAGTAGTGGGTGGAGCTACATGAGTAGTGGGTGGAGCTACATGAGTAGTGGGTGTAGCTACATGAACAGTGGGTGGAGCTACATGAGTAGTGGGTGGAGCTACATGAGCAGTGGGTGGAGCTACATGAGCAGTGGGTGGAGCTAGCCCACGGCACACGCCGGTTGTGCGGCGTCTCGCCTTGTCCCTCACCGGTGACCTGGTCGACAAGGATGCGCGAGGTGATGATGCGCCCGTACTGCGAGAACAGCTGCTCCAGCTCCTTCTGGCTCATGTTCTTGGGCAGGCCGCTCACGTAGAGGTTGGCGTCGCGGATGGATGCCGAGCTGGGGCGCGCGTAGGACACCTGCGCGGGACACGGCACGACACGGTGGGGGAGGGGGGGCACAGGTGAGGACGTGTCGGTATCTAGAATCCAGGGAGCCCTGGTGGTCAGGAATATCAGAATATTTATTGAACTTGGAGGAATCCGATGAGCTGCAAACTCTTTGTCACAGATGTTCGGCAGAAAAAAATGGGATACGCTGACCCCACCTTTTTCATAAATTATCGACACTTGTTTTTTTATTGTACCAGGTAAGGCTCCACTGAGCTGTTTCAGAAACGATAGGTCAACGAAGGGGCTCAGCATTGTGTGGACATTAATAGCAGAAGCCAAATACTCTCGTGATGTCGATTTCTAAACGTGGGGTGGGGTGGGGGTGGAAACCGGAGGACCCGGTGAAAAATCCACGCGACCACAGGGATAACACGCATTTAGAGTACACATTCTACAGCAGCATTATCAGGTGCTGTTGGCACGATTGACACTATATACAATAAAAAAAATGCCCATAAGACAGTAAAACCTTGGATGGCGAGCATAATTTGTCCCGGAAACGTGTTTGTAATCCAAAGCACTCGTATATCAAAGCACTCGTATATCAGTTGTGATCACGTGACGCATGGCAAACAAAACGTATACATGTACTACTCATATTGCAAGACCTCGCTCGTTTATCAAATTAATATTTATTAAAAAAATTAGCTCATCTTGCAAAACACTCGCAGACCAAGTTACTCGCAATCCAAGGTTTTACTGTATAGTAATAGCAACATTATCATGGTGACAATGGTAAAGGATTTTCAGCTACTGCCCCAACTATCAGGGACAGTTTAACACAGCCCCCGGCTTTAGGCGCTGCGACCGCGAACCATGAGCACCCAGCCCCCTTCCCGACCCCAACCCACTGCCCACAAAAATACATACAGCCTCAGAGCGGTTGGTACACAATTCCGTGGCCACAATGGTAAATCCTATGGGTAATTTGCTAAGTAAAGGCATTGCATTACAATGCGTTTGTAATAAGTGCCACGTGTCAAAATTTAAGTGGTTTTGTTCGTTTTAACTCCGATTTAGCGCTTAAAGCCCAGAACTGAAATAGCCTAGGTGAATAACAACGGTACTTTTGGCCTTGTCGGGCTCGGGTGGCGGTGGTGGCGGTGGTGGTAAAACAGTCGAGTGAAGGAATTGGAGAGACAAAGAAAGGGCAACCTAAATCGATCGCAGCCCTCCTCCAACGTAATACAGCTCTGCCTAAGCCAAACGCAGCACCTCCGTGACGAAAACGGAAGCGGCAAAGTTCGCCACGATTGGCGCGGTGCTCTGCTTAGGCGCGGAGGTCTCATGACGGCGACAACAGAGGCGAGAGTTTGACAATAGAGGCGAGAGATCTCATGACAGCGGCGACAGAGGCAAGAGTTCGACGCGAGCCGGTGGGGAGCCAGCGTGGAACAGCCGAGGCGGCGCTCATTGGAACGGGCAGACGGGCGTGCAGTGAAGTTGCCGTGCATCACTGGAGCTGCCGCCGGTTAACTCCCACCTGCCGATCAACACCTCCTGCTGATCAACAACTCCCTGCTGATCAACTTCTGCCGATCAACAACTCCCGCGGATCAACTGCGCTGATCTGACGTCACGTTCATTTTGCACGCAACATTGTGTTCCAGTGTAAAGCCAAGGCCCTCTGATTTTTTTTGTTCCTTCTCGGTGTCCGCCCTGTTATCCAGCTTTGGTGGAGCACACACACCATGCTGTGAATTCGACGATCCGAGTTTCAATTCCTGGCCACAGCCAATTCGTCAGTGGCGAGCGATGTTATCCGAACCGACCGCGTCCTGGGCCACCCCCGCTTCCACCAGCCGGCGAAAGTCCAACAAAGTGAAGGGCGCTAAAAACGACGACCCTCAACCGACATTGGACTAGGGATAGGTCCTCATCCAGCGAGTGGATTGACAAATGGCTGTCAATTAGTTGTATTATCCGCGGGTCGCGTTCGGTTGCAAATAAAGAATTTGACTGCGAGTATCGATTTCCACGTAATAAGCCGCTTCATTTGGGCTATCGTTAGTGGCCGGGGTCACTTCTCGAACAGAAATATGTAGCCTTACCTGGTAAAAATAAAAATAAAATGTTTTTTTTAGAGTAAAACCCCGATCCCACGGCAGAGATCATCGAACGCGAACTGCCGTCCAGGAACTCCGCACGCGGTCCGGGGTCAAACCCGGACTTCGGGGCTCCAAAGGCTTGGCGGACGAGACAAAGCGGCGGTGTCACTCGGCCGCCCATGGGCGCTTCGCCCGCCCCGTTTGCACCGCCGGCTTTTATCGCGGCCGGCTGAAGCAATCACTCAGGGCCACGCAATCCATCATACGCGGGACAAACGCATTCATAACCACGCCTCGCCCACCATCGATCTCCCGGCTTTGTGGGTATTCGTCAATAAAACCTTAATAGAACAACGGCCAAACGATGGCAAGGCTTTCTTCATATTTGAAATAATTGGGTATTTTACAACGCAAAAAAAAGTCTTATTTTGAAATATATATCCGCTCGCGGTTTTTTTCTCTCTCTACAGTTAGTGTTTTTGTTGCTGAGGAATTTGTGTACTTCTACACTTCGTTTATACGTATTTATTTATAGCGACTTGCTTACATTTTCTCTCGTTTGCCCCTGTATCGTTTTTGTTCGTATTGTTTGTTCATGTAACATGCTGACCCGCCCCTACTGGGCATCTGTGAAACAAGAGATTTGTAGCTCGTCGGAGATTGTGCGTCTCGTGACAGTCACACTCATGCTGGCTACGTACGGTGCGAAAGAAGTTCAAAATACATACAAGAGCAAAACAAACTGGAAGATTACGCATTATCGTGGAGCTATTGGTGACAACAGTGAGGACATTCAACTCATTACACTTGACACCCATGGTCAATCACAACCCAGTCTATGTGAGTCTATGGATCTCTATGCAAGTCTATGGATCTCTATGCAAGTCTATGGATCTCTATGCAAGTCTATGGATCTCTATGTAAGTCTATGGATCTCTATGCAAGTCTATGGATCTCTATGTAAGTCTATGGATCTCTATGCAAGTCTATGGATCTCTATGTAAGTCTATGGATCTCTATGTAAGTCTATGGATCTCTATGTAAGTCTATGGATCTCTATGTAAGTCTATGGATCTCTATGCAAGTCTATGGATCTCTATGTAAGTCTATGGATCTCTATGCAAGTCTATGGATCTCTATGTAAGTCTATGGATCTCTATGTAAGTCTATGGATCTCTATGTAATTCTATGGATCTCTATGCAAGTCTATGGATCTCTATGTAAGTCGATGTATCTCTATGTTAATGTTTGGTACTCTATGCTAGTCCATGGATCTCTGTGTAAGTCATTGGGTGGATAGGCTGGTGACCTTCAATTCGCCACCCCTGAGAGCCATTTCGAATCGCAGGCGGCTGAAACGTGGACTCAAACCCAGCGTCTCAGCTGTGCCGGCTGTGTGGCTGTGACCGCGAATGCTACCCAGCCATCTATGAAAAGTGTTACTGAGAAGCGCGTGAAGAACTATACAAGTCACCTGCCCACGCTTGTGAACTAGAAGACGGCCCCCCAGGCAGCCCTGTGCTTAGAGTGGCTTACCCTCGATTGGGTTGAGGGTGACGGTTGGACTCCTGTTTTGAGTCGATGAAGCCAACTACCATCGCTCCAGCGGGGTTGATAGCCCATCGCGACGTGGCTTGCCGCTGGCATCTATAACAAATCGGCTCCTGCCACGGGAAGGTAGAATTTCCACTGCAGCCTTAATCCCTGCCAAACGAATGTAAGCACTGACTCACAACGGTTTGAGCAGAGGCTGGCCATTTGCGGCTAAAATAGAGAACTCATTCTTTGAAAATGTTTTTGTATTTTCGTTTGTTTTACCCCTCTGAACATTGCAACTAGAAGTGCTTCCAAAATATCGACACAATTAGCCACCACGGAGCTTCTTACTTCTGTATTGTCTTTGGGCAGAAGCCGCCATGAAAAAAATCCTAAGGAGACCAGTGGTCTCTGATGAGTGATTTAGACGAAATATCTGGCAGCGTCTGTGTAGATATACGGGGCAAACTTTTAGAACAACAAAAACAACCCTTAACACATCCGTCAAGAACAATATATAAAAGTTATATATAAATATATATAACAGGCGACGGTTTTTCTTCATGGCGCGTGTGATGAGTTCTGGTTTCTTACTTGTGCTTGTGCACCTCTGCAAATGCAGCAGCGGCAGCGGCAGCATCGTCAACTAATGATCTGTGTGTCCACCTCACTGCGTGTCTCGACGGTGAGCGCACCGCGCCGCGCACGCCGGCGACCCGAGTTCGATTCCCGCTCACGACCAATGACAGGAGAGGATATTTAAAACTGATCCTGGGCATCCCCTAGGTCGACTCAGCCTTAAATTATGACTTGGTGTATAGTTTAAGTATCAGCACGGGGGGGGGGGATCTTCGTCTTTATCTGTTTATGTGTATGTGTGTTTATCTATGTGCTTTATGCTCAGTGTTTCACGTACATATTGTATGTATTATATAATTATGCACATTCTAGACGTTTGAAATACCAATCAAAATGACCAGACACACAGGCGCACGAACACAGATGGACAGGAAGACAGACAGACACATACACGGACGACACGCACCACACACAAAGACTAAGACCGGCCCGCATAGCCATAACAGAATTTAGGGGCTAATTTTTCACAACGGGCTGGGTACTCAGCACCATTCCCAGCCGCCCCTGTCTGAGTCGACCTAGGGGAGGCCCAGCATGGGTGTTGGTCGTGAGCGGTAATCGAACTCGGGTCACCGGGTTCGTAGCGCAGCACGTTAACCGTTGCAGTACCGCTCCCCAAAGACACAGACACACACGAACAGACAGGTGGACAGACACACAGGTAGACAGTACAGGAGATAAAGAGACAGCCTGAGAGGGAGAGGCAGAGATAGAGGAAATGTTCTCGACAACCCCATGAACTGC